ATAAATGGGATTCTTAGTAAATTCAACCGCGTATTAGGTATAAATAGTGATATTCATTAAGTGGAAAAATGTTTCATATTCCAATCGAAAGATCATCATCATAGCATTTAGTAGTTTACCTCATTTCAAGCTGATAAATCTCATATGTAACAACAACTGCTTAATATTGAGAAGAATAGAGTGGTATTAAATCACTAAATTAAAATATACTATCTACATTTAAGAAAGTTCATGTGAACTGTAAAAGTTGATAGTTACAACAATACATGGGGGAAATTTGGATGTCTATACTGTTGTACATCAAACTAAGTGGCCAATTCAAAAATGAACAAGCTGATAGGGGGGATATAAGTACGATTTTCTACTCAATTATAAACGTCTAGAATTTCATGTTACTACTGATACTTTAATCAAAATAAACAGATGGAAATCGATCTTTAAAAACAAAGCAGTTTAATGTTGTTTCAATCATGCTTTTATGATGAATATTTTTTCAATTATTAGTAATTTAAAAAGTACTTAATAACTCAAATCCGGTAATGATTAGGTCATTCTCATCAATTCATTTCAGTAACAAGATACACTGACTTCCTTTAGGACTCAATTTTTCATTGATTAATTGCTATTATTATCATTATTAATATTATTATTATGTTAATAGAAATTCTGCCTCTCCCAGTCCGTGTCGTCCCATGATGTCTTTATATCCAGTGTTTTCCGTTCCAACCTTGGCATTGAAATCTCCCATCAGAATGGTCAGGTCCCGGTGTCCCACATTGAGGAAAGCACCCAACTGCGTCACAAGACAAGCCCTCACATGAAATCCTCAAGGCCAAAGGAAAAGAGGAAGACCAAAGAACACATTACGCCGGGAAATAAAAATAGACATGATAAAAATGAACAAGAATTGGATGGAATTAGAAAAGAAGGCCCAGGACAAAGTGGGTTGGAGAACGCTGGTCGGTGGCCTATGCTCCATAAGGAGTAACAGGCGTAAGTAAGTAAGTAATAGTAATTACTTATATTCCAACTGACCGTAGCTAACTGAAGTAAATAAGTAAAATGAATCCTATTCAAAATATTTGCTCATAATTGTAGTGGAAGAATTTATTCATTGTACTTTTTACCATTGAAATAAACACTTGATTAGATTATCCACTTCTTTGTACATAAAAATATAGATTTTTAGGTCATTTGTGAATTTGACCTTCGAAATTTGAAGCTAGAATAAAAGATTTCAATAGCTTTTCTTTTCTATATATGTAATTACAAATAATGTATGACATTATTTTTGTTAATTGTTATGTTCATGTGATGAATTTTCTATTTCTCTCTTTTGTTTTTACTTTAACAGGATAGAAAACTACAAAAGATTTGTTAAGATTGTTCATTTTAATAATAACTAAATAGAAGAACAATCAGCAGAAAACATTAGTAATAGATTTCATTGTATTTAAGGTCAACGAAAAGTGTCCTTGTTATAATGTGAATGACCGGTACAATTGCAGGAACTGTTTACCCATTATGAATACATGACATAAACTTTCAGTTCACACTAATAAATAATGGTGACATATTTGTAATACAACATCTACAGAAAAACGACTTACATGAAGCCACTGGAGAGTCAGAAATTGAGTTTTCTACAGATTGGAATACTACAAATATATTATCTTTTTTTAAAATATAATTAACAATTTACCTAATGTTTAGTCACCAGTGGAGTACAACCAGGTCTGTTGTGAGATATCAGCTCACTGAAGACAATGGTATATGGTGGCGCAACTTCGTGGATTGGTTGAAGTTAGACATTAACACCGTTGGATGCAGGCTCAGTGCTCTAATGGTTAAGTGCTCGCGCGCGAAGCCAATAGGTCCTGGGTTCGAGGCCCGCGTGGTGCGGGATCGTGGATGCGTACTGCTGAGGAGTCCCATACTAGGGCGAAACGGCAGTCCAGTGCTTCCAGGTTTTCAATGGTGGTCTAGCTTCAACTGACTCATGATTTAAATCTGTGAAAATTTCTAAAATCTCCACAAACCCCTTCTGATTATTTAAAATTGACAAGTCATACCTTAGTAATGATATTTACAAGTTCAGTTCATACATTTTGAAAGATCGTAAAATGATAGAGGTAGAAAAAAGTTTTAATGATGTAAATTGAAAGTATGTTATATCACAATAAACTAAATATTCATTTGTAATACTTTCTGAATATGCAGTAGACTGATGTTTAGAAGTATAACGTTCAATTAGGAAAACAATTATGATATTCATCCGCCATAGGTGTTAAGCTTTGATACATGTTACAACATAAAATGATTTTTCAGAGACTGGACTGAACTACGTAAAGAAAAGCGCAAAAACTAGAACGCAATTTAAAAATTTCATCTGGATATACAATCACAAGTAAAATGTTTTATGATCTTATCGATCATTTTTTAAGGAAAAAAACTAACAATCAATCACTCATCTACATTTATTCTTAATAACACAGATTTTAAAGTATGGAATGATTAACTAAATGGTTCATTCATATCTTTTCACTACTTATTGCTACTACTATGCAAATATGTGAAAGCGTGAACATGTTATTTCCTGTTAGGAAACATCCTTCATTGGATCACATGATATTCAACATGAATATTAATGCTTCATTAAGATTTTAGTTTGTCAATGAAACAACAATACAACTATTTTAAAATAGTCTATTTTACTGATTGATTGACTGATGATATCAACTGTAGAACTATATGAAATCATACTGTAAATATTGTTTGTGGTCCGTAATGCGAGTTGTTAATTAAATTGAATACATATCCACAAATTTCTTAAATAAATGATTGTGTTAAATAAATCATTAACCAATTACACTTTCGTGCACTAACTGTGCATTGAGTCAAAAAAAATTGTATGTGAGGAGTACTAATGTATTTGTGGTTGCCCAAATTGAGATTCTATTGTGCAACTTAGTCGCTTATTTTTAATTCCTACAATAAGATTAGGTCACTATTAATATTACATAGTTAAAATTATTAATGACCATCACCAGTTATATATACACTAAACTAGTGTCAAAATATTATTTGAAAACAGTATACATTAATTACTAATGGTTAAGGCATTAGACTTTCAATCACTTTATCTGAGTTTCGGACCACATTTTATCTACTTTGGTTTGAGCAACCGATAGAATCATTAGCTCTTACATCTAGAGTGTGGCTCATACTCAGATACTTAGTGAATGAGTCAAGTTGCTTTTTACTTTAAGGCTGCATTTTAATTGGAAACATTCAAACAACGAATAAATGAACATCCATCTTCCTTTGACATTTCTAGTATTACATACTTTTAATAAGGTACTTGAGCCCCATTTGATTGAAGGACTAAATGATGTTATTTTTGCTTTAGTTCTGAATCATGAATCGAAAGGATATTTCATTATATTTTATAGAAATTCTTTAGTAAATCACATGCTCAGTAGATATTAATAAAATATTTAGTGAAAGAGAACAAAAATCACCACAATATTTTGACATATTGTATAATTAGCTCAAAAATTAAAACAGGTCAGAGACTGATTTACATAATATAATTAACTACTAATGAATCTTCAGCAGTGCGCATCCACGATCCCGCCCTCCGCGAGACTGGTAGGTCGTGGATTCGAGTTTCACGGGGAGTGGGATCGTGGATGTGCACTGCTGAGGAGTCCCATACTAAGAAGAAATGGCCGTCCAGTACTTCCACGTTTTTCATGATGGTCTAGCTTCAGTGGACTCATGATTTCAACTACTGAAATTACTAATATCTCAACAAAACCCCTTCTGATATTAATGAATCCTTGAAAATTCGGATTTATATTATATTAATTATACTTCAAAGTCAATCAGTTTATAAATAAGCCATTTTGTTAAAGCCACATGATATTTAAATATGCACAATTAATAATTAATCATCACCTTTACTGTATTGTTATTACTTTGCTAAACTAATTATACAGACTAATTAATTTGTAACTACCATACATTCTTTAATAAATTACTATGTAAACAATAATTGGGACAGTAATCTAAATAAGAAAAAAGTGACTGTTTTCAGTGGTGAATAATTTTCACTTATAATCAAAGTGTTTTCTTTTCATGTCATACTAGATTAGGATAATAGTCAGTGAAGAGAAATAAACTCTACTATTTTTGTTTTAGTCTTATGTTTGTAAATGCATACATGTTATAGTGTAAGAAGTTATAAGTTAAATCATGACAATACATCAGATGCCCAAATGCCATGGTATGGCCGAGGGTGTGGAGTATCAGCTCTTCCCGCTCGAAATGCTCTCACATGACCACGAGTATATAGCCACTGCCAGGGAAGTCCTACTCACTACCTTCTCGTGGTGGGGGTATTGTTTACGAAATTGAGAGGACGAAAAGTGAATGTCCAGGGCTTTAACCGGGTTGGTAGATACGAAAAGTTTACCCAGGAAAGTTGGAAAACCTTGATTCCAAACCAATGGTGCACATGGGCTCCAGTATCCTGATAGAAAAAATGGCGTATGAACCTATTGTTGGTCACTGGCCACCATGGGACTGCATCTCCTGCAGTTGCTGCACTGCCTTGTGGATCAGACCTTTAGGTCAAAGGCTACGGTTGTGATCCCCTTATAAAATCATCTGTTTCAGTTTGAGCACCCGGACATTTTGAGGATAAACTCTAACACTGAATGATATTAGTTCAACAAACATGGAATACTATATATTCACTTGGTGATGTTTACTTGTATCTTCCCATCGTTATTTAGGACTGCAATTGAATACTATATGTATATAGGTTTTATAGTTTTTATTTTAACTCATAATTCATAATGCTACAATCAGAGAATTTGATGAAAGTTTCACACTATGAGAAACAAAAAGTGTTAAACTAAAGGGCTGTTTTAATGAAAAAAGGAAACAATCAGCATACAGAAGAATAAAAATAAATATACTACTGAAGAACTTACCAAGTATCTTTATCATGATGTACAAGACCTGATAATTGATGTCCAGTGAAACTTTCACCTGAAACACCTTGTTTCTTAGTGCGTAATTTGTCTGCAAACATTTGTTGTCCAGTGTTTTCGTGCATACCAGTTGCTTTTAATGTAGGCGTTATTCCGGTTACATTTAACGTGTTTTGTTTAATTGTTTGACGTGATATATCAGATATTGGTGTAACGGGGTGGGTAGGTAGTTGTGTCACATTATTATGAAGTTTTTGGTCTAAAACTGATTTCAATTTGTCAATATCTCTTTCTCGAGCGTTTAAATTGAGTCTTGTTTGACTCAATTCTTGTTCAAGCCATCTTATGTGATCAGTGTATCCTCGAATATCTTGTCGTAATCGCTCAATTAAGTTGAGTAATTCTTCAGGTTCATAGCTTTTACCATCTAAAACTAGTGTAAGCCCAGAAGTCTCAGATTGATTTGCTTTAACGGGACTATTAAAATTAACATTATTATTCCCAGTTCTAGAAGCGATTGGAAGCATAGATCCAAAAGTTGGCATTGTTGATGAGTGGATATAACCTACAGGATTCGATACTTCTGTCTGTGGAAGTACTGGAGTATTTTGTACAGGTTTCATTGTGACTGAACTTACTGGTTGAGCCATCAATGGTAATTCCTGAGTTTGGGGTTGCTTATTTAAATAGTTAGCGCTTTGATCGATTATACTGTTAACAAAACTTCCAATTGGTTCTTGATTTTGTCTGGGTGTTTTAAAGTTTTTTAACAATGTTGGTTGATCAAAAGTGATGAATTGACTTGTTTCAAAATCTGCTTTTATAGTCTCAGATGTTGTGTGCAGAGTTGTACAGGTAGTTAATGGTGGAGAATTTCCACTTAGATTTGTTAGTACTGTTGCATCCAATTTCGTACAGTTTTTTGTTAAACAATGTTCGCAGCTATCGGAATATAGATTATTATTATTTGTGTTAGCCAGATCTATATTTGGTTGTAGATTGATAGTCACTGGTTGTGGAGAATAATAACGAGTTGTATCGCTGACTGAATGTGATAAATATTCCAATGTATTGGTTGGGTATGGACTCCATCTTTTTGCTTGTATATTATCAATTTCTTGTTGGCCTAATGTGGCCCTTCTTCGTCTATCTATATTTGACAGTGTTATTGATATTCACGTAAAAATTATTGTTATTTATGACGTTGTACTAGGCTAAGTTCAGAAATAATTGTACACACACATATATATATATTTCTATAATTCCTGTGATAAAATCTTTTAATTAGAATATGACTAATTGACAATAAGGACAATAAGATTCATTTATCAAGATCTCATCACCATTTCTAAGATTATTGGTATATGATAAAAATAGAAAAATCCAGGTTTATAATCAATTATAATTGGTTGAATTGGTTATCATAAGCAACGCACAGATAAACTTTATTATTATTATTTATCTGGAAATATGGTTTGAATTAATGCAAAAATCCAATTAGTACATTAGTGAACAAACACATATTTGTTTATGTTTATGCATATACAGATACACATGATAATGAGAATGATTGTAAACACACAAACAAACAAAGAAAATGAATCTTATTTAATATGTTGTTTCCAGGTTGTAGATTACTCGATATTTATATATAATTGATTCAATAATTAAAATCAGTTTAAAAGTAATAATACTATCATTGTCATTACAAATAATACACCTCAATAATTCAGTAAACTTAAGATAAAACAAATAAACAACAGAACAAAACTTATCATAAAGGTTGGCAACATCAACAACAAAAAAGTATTTTGATAGAAAAATTAACCAACAGGTTAAATATGTCATGTGGAATGACATTTTATTGAAAAAAAATATCTTAGTTATATTCTATCAACCAATCAACAATTTGTAGTGATCTAGACACATAAAACTATGTAAAGATCAATAGAATTCAATTGGAATTTTAAATAACCAATAAAAAATTAGGTTTATATTTAGTAAATATGCACTTAAATAAAATTCTGTCATTTAATTTTAATATCAGAAGGGGATTGTAGAGATTTTTTAGAAATTTTCACAGATTGAAATTATGAGTCAGTTGAAGCTAAACCACCATGGAAAACCTGGAAGCACTGGACGGCCATACCGTCCTAGTATGGGACTCTTCAGCAATGAGCACCCACGATCCCGCACCCTGCGGGATTCGAACCCAGGACCTACTGGCTTCGCGCGCGAGCATTTAACCATTAGACCACTGAGCCGGCCGGCATACAACGGTGTTAATGTCCAGTGCTTCCAGGTTTTCCATGGTGGTCTAGCTTCAACTGACTCATAATTTCAATCTGTGAAAATTTAAAGATTATTTTAAATTCTTTTTTGTTTGTTTTATGAGTTTTAATAAGTCCGGGATTTCTGATTATGAATCATATCAATTCTGTTATTAGAGAAGAATTAAAAAGAAGAAAAAGGAGAGAACTCAGCGAAGAAAATTTTCTATTCGATGAAATCGTTTACTTAAATGGTACATTCGTATATATATATATATATATATATATATATATATATATATATATATATATATATATATATATATATATACATCACCAAAAAAGGGATTCGAGAATAAATAACAAATGAGGTTATGTACTAATCAAGGGGTAAGAATTAAAACAATTTATAGGTTAGATAAATAGTCCAATTGACAAAAAAGCGACAAACACAAAGGTCATGATAATAAACTGAATCATATCAGAAGGGGTATTGTGGATATTTTAGAAATATCAATGGCTTAAATCATGAGTTAATTGAAACTAGACCATCATGGAAAACTTGGAAGCACTGGACATCCATTTCGCTCTAATATGGGACTCCTCAGAAGTGAGCACCCACGATCCCGTTCCCCGTGAGATTCAAACCCAGGACCTCCACAAAACTCCTAATAATAATCATCTACCCACTAGTGACTGACTACAAGAGGCATTTCCTGGAGTTCTCATGAGAAGCCCTTATCAGAGGAGTTCAACCAGGTCTGTTGTGAGATATCAGCTCACTGAAGACAATGGCGGACGATGGCGCAACTTCGTGGATTGGTTGAAGTTAGACATTAACACCGTTGGATAACGGCCGGTTCAGTGGTCTAATGGTTGGGCGCTCGCGCGCGAGACTGATAGGTCCTGGGTTCTCGGGGGGGCGGGATCGTGGATGTGTGCTGCTGAGGAGTCCCACAATATGACAAAACTGCCGTCCAGAACTTCTGGGTTTTCCATGGTGGTCTAGCTTCAATGGATTCATGATCTCAACTGTTGAAATTATAAATAAACATTCAATTGTTATATGGTTACTTGAAACTATAAATCCGAATAGATCCTGATTTAAAATAAAAGAGAACCTAGTTTGAGACTAGTAAATAAATAATCCAAATACAACAATGAACGATTTCTTCTTATAATTCAATAAATTCATGTAAACTTGATGGACTAAATGGCTATGTACACATCATATGGGTGACCTAGATTTATTTTATAACAGAAAAAACATATTGGATCAAAACGTTTTCAAAATTCTCTAGACTAATCACACATATACATTCATTCGCATTATGATGTATGTAATATCATGTAATTCATTAATTGAGAAAATACTAGAAGATGAAATTCATTACAATAATACAACAATAGTGTGATGTACTTCCAGAACTGAAAATAGATTTGAAGTAATCACCACTATTCTATGGGTTAAGCTCTTAATCCTTATTCAGTAATCAACTATACTAGTAAACGAGAGATGACTTAATTAAGCATAAAATTAAATAATTGACAAAGAATTATAATAATGATTTTTAGATCGAATTAGGGACTTATTTTGGATTTGGTAAATTTAACTAATATATACTCACGGCGAGGCTATAATTTATGGGTGACCTTTCAGCGACGCCAGAGTGACCTCGAGAGTGTTCACATAATAACTAGGACCTAATGCGGATTGTAAACCTGTGTGAGGAATTATAATTATGATTTACAGTTGATGGTTAGGGTTATAAATTAGATTTAGGGTTTTCTTCACGAACTGACATCAGCCATAACGCCAAAACTCTATTTAGCCAAATGAATGAGTGAATTTCACGCCAAAATCCAAGACCTGTTATCTTATACCTTTTTGGTTCATCCATAAATTATAGTCTCGCCTATACCAACTAACAACTAATATGGTAACTTTCTGGATTGCATTGAATTTAGAATTTATATTATGTGAACTATTTTCGTAGTGAATAGTGATAGTTCACAGCTGGGTAAACTATAACCAGGTAGGTAGGTCATTTTAGATATATATGTCGAAGTGTATAGACTTGACATAATATGAAATTGTCTTAGTAAATATTTCATTAATTATGTTATATATCGAGTTAAGCTGATTCTCGTTTAGTGTATTCTACTCAGTCTAATCAGTAAATTATACTAGTACTATCCTTGATTCGATAGCTAAACTAACTATATGCAAAGTTATACTTATTGATGAAGTGACATTGTTAACCTTGATGATTGCATAAATAAATATTGGTTTCATTATAAAATACTGCATTAAAAACACTTCGGCACTTTGAATGTAAGGTCTGCCTGACATAGTATTTGACTTCATTCGAGTCATTTAATTAAAACGTTTCTTAACCTCTGAAATAAATTCATAACAAAGAAATATTAATGGTAATTTCATTACTTTAGGTGCGAAAAAGAGGATTTATTATAAGTACTTGATCTCTTCATCAAGCTTCATTTAAACCTAAAATTTATGATAACTTCTAATAACCAACAGCTATCTTAATTATTTTGATGAGATAGTGAGATGAACTATATTTATCAGTGTCATTCGATGACAGGAATCAATGAACACAACTTTAAGTAGTAAAAAAGAACCAATGCAAAATATTATTGGTACAATCAAAGTATGTCAATGTCAAGTAATTTCTGGTCAAGGTGAATTTGTATGGCTTATCACTGTATTAATTTCTATGTCAGAATGTGGATATGAAAAATGTACACATTTGTGATATCAAGTAGTGGGTTGAGATTGTGTATCCATGTGTGTAAAACTAATAAATAGTTGTTTGGACAAACAGTTCTAGTTGGATGAATGTTCAGGCCTTTTTTCCTATTGAGGGAAGAGCGACTTAGTATTATGTGAAACGCTTCGGGTATATGAGCTTCTTTGTAGTTGGAAAAGCTTTTCTGAATTATTTTGATATTTTTAATATTAATTTGGTGATTATTGAAAATAGTATGTATTGCTGGTTTAAATTGTAAATTATCCAGTCCTACAGGACTATTAGGAGATCTTTTTCTGTAACTTAGGTTTTCCTTGGCACGAGTCGAGATCTCACGGGAAGACTCTCCAGTACATAAACAACATGACCTAATATGTAGAGACGATTTCGAGTAAAAGTGAACAGAATTTCATCTTTAACTAAAGCGTTTCTTTAAATGTTAGTTATCTTATAGAAAGCTTTACTTTTGTATGTTTTTAATATTCATTGTAATTCTTCTGTTGTACCTTGGTGGTAAGGAAAAACTACAGTATCAATCCAAGAAATTTCATTAGGATTGTTATTTACAGAAGGAAAATTTTGTTTTAATATGTTTTTAATAATATTTTT